TGTGAAAGAGGGCGTGTGACAAAGTTGTGGGAAAGATGGTGTGTGACAAATTGGTGTGTGAAAGATGGTTTGGCGAAAGATGGTGTGTGACAAAGTTGTGTTAAAGATGGTGTGGTGAAAGATGGTGTGCGACAAAGTTGTGTGTGAAAGATGGTGTGGTGAAAGATGGTGTGTGACAAAGTGGTGTGTGAAAGATGGTGTGGTGAAAGATGGTGCGAGACAAAGTGTTGTGTGAAAGATGGTGTGTGAAAGATGGTGTGAAAAGATGGTCTGTGACGGTGTGTGAAAGATGGCGTGTGACAAAGTGGTGTGTGGAAGATGGTGTGTGAAAGATGGTGTGTGACAAAGTGGTGTGTGACAAAGCGGTGTGTCAAAGATGGTATGTGACAAAGTGGTGTGTGAAAGATGGTGTGTGACAATGTGATGTGTGAAAGATGGTGTGTGACAATGTGATGTGTGACAAAGTGGTGTGTGACAAAGCGGTGTGTCAAAGATGGTATGTGACAAAGTGGTGTGTGAAAGAGGGTTTGTGAAAGATGGTGTGTGACAATGTGATGTGTGAAAGATGGTGTATGAAAGGTGGGGTGTGACAAAGAGGTGTGTGATAGATGGTGTGTGACAAAGTTGATGTGTGAAAGATGGCGTGTGACAAAGTTGGTGTGTGACAAAGTTGTGTGTGAAAGATGGCGTGTGACAAAGTTGTGTGTGAAAGATGGCGTGTGACAAAGTCGGTGTGTGAAAGATGGTGTGTGAAAGATGGTCTGTGACGGTGTGTGAGAGATGATCTGTCCCACGCCTGCCACGCAAAACGACAGTAGATGTGAGTTTGTGCCACGCCTGCCACGTGAAACGAAGGTGGATGTCAGGTTGTGCCACGCCTGCCACGCAAAGTGCCGCGGCGTCACAGGCGCCCAAGCCGGCCCAAGGGCGCCACCCAGTGCCATCTGTCCCACGCCTGCCACGCAAAACGACGGTAGATGTGAGATTGTGCCACGCCTGCCACGTGAAACGAAGGTGGATGTCAGGTTGTGCCACGCCTGCCACGCAAAGTGCCGCGGCGTCACAGGCGCCCAAGCCGGCCCAAGCGCGCCACCCAGTGCCATCTGTCCCACGCCTGCCACGCAAAACGACGGTGGATGTGAGTTTGTGCCACGCCTGCCACGTGAAACGAAGGTGGATGTCAGGTTGTGCCACGCCTGCCACGCAAAGTGCCGCGGCGTCACAGGCGCCAAATCCCGGCCCAAGGGCGCCACCCAGTACCATAAGTGGCACGCCTGCCACGCAAAACGACAGTAGATGTGAGTTTGTGCCACGCCTGCCACGTGAAACGAAGGTGGATGTCAGGTTGTGCCACGCCTGCCACGCAATAACGTGCGCGGCGTCACATGCGCCCGCCGGCCCAATCGCGCCACACCAGTGCCATCTGTCCAACTCCTGCCACGCAACAGACGACAGGGTGGATTGCAGTATTTTGGTGCCACGCCAGCCACGTGAAAAACTAAGGTGGATGCTCAGTTTGTGCCACGCGCCTGCCACGCAAAGTGCCGCGGCGTCAACAGGTCGCCCAATGCCGTCCCAAGGCACGCCACCCAGTGCCATCTGTCCCACGCCTGCGCACGCCAAAACGACGTAGAAATGGTGATTGTGCCACCAACGCCTTCCACGTGAAGCAAGGGGATGTCAGGATTGGCCACGCCGTGGGGCACCCTGCTGTGGGCCCCCCGGAAAACAGAAGGGGGGGGAAAAGGGGAACGAAAAAAGGGGAAGCTCAAAGGTTCTCTTCGCCTCCGTTCTCCAAATCCCTGGCCAATGTCTCCACCACCCCCCGTACCATTTTGCCACCTGCCTCCACACAAAACGACTGTTGGATTGGGAATTCTCTATCCCTCTCTTCTCCTCCCGCACTCCTCTCTTTCCTCTTCTCGCTTCACCTCTCCTCGGCCCTTTTCCTCCTCTTCTGTGTCTATGTCTGTCTCTGAAACAAGGTTGGACACAAAGTGTGTGTGGACAAAGTGTGTGGTGACAAAGTGTGTGTGGACAAAGTGTGTGTGGACAAAGTGTGTGTGGACAAAGTGTGTGTGGACAAAGTGTTTGGTGACAAAGTGTGTGTTGACAAAGTGTGTGTTGACAATGTGTGGTGACAAAGTGTGTGGTGACAAAGTGTGTGTGTGTGGACAAAGTGTGTGTTGACAATGTGTGGTGGTGACAGTGGTTGTGTGGGTTACGTGGGAAGGTGCTGGTTCACAAAGTGTGTGTGGACAAAGTGTGTGTGGACAAAGTGTTTGGTGACAAAGTGTGTGTGGACAAAGTGTGTGGTGACAAAGTGTGTGTGGACAAAGTGTGTGTGGACAAAGTGTGTGTGGACAAAGTGTGTGTCCAAGTGTGTTTGACAACGTTGGGGACAATTTGGTGACAAGTGTGTGGTGACACAAAGGTGGGTGTGTGGACACACATGTGTGTGGACAAAGTGTGTGTTGACAATGTGTGGTGACAAAGTGTGTGGTGACAAAGTGTGTGTGGACAAGTGTGTGGTGACAAAGTGTGGAGGAGGGCGGAGGAGGAGAAGGCGGAGGAGGAGCCCGGGATACAGAATCAAAAACAAGAACCCCACACAAAGATGTGGGGAACTAAAACATGGTTGAAACCATGAGATCATAAGCATGGGACCCCATTCCCATACACTTCCCATCCTACTTAAGTTTCAAAATGTTTCAAACATACATGGGAGTGGTATAGGAAATGATCATCAGAAATTGAGTAAAATCATAGAGAGTCGCTGGAATATCCACAAAAAAGCACCTCTGATTGGTGGTTTCCACATGTTTCAACCCATCCCAAAAAACAATAGAAATTGATAGAAATTGGGGATCATCATCCCATATATATATAATTATATATATATATAATTATATATATATATAATATATATATGCCATTCTGTGGTTGAAAATAAGGAGTTTTTACGACGACTCAGAGGGGATGGCTTCAGAAACTTGAACGGCTGGTTGGTGGTTTTTAACCATCTTGGGAAGGATGACATCCCTACTATGGAAAGTAAAATTCATGATCCAAACCACCAACCAGTAAGGCTCTTCCCATGGCTTTCCAATCCATTGTCAGAGAATCTCATTGTGGAAACCAGATGCGGGTTTTGGACATGTGATGCCCCCAGGTTCCCGAACCGCCCTTGGGCGCAGAGTAGCTGTCCTGGCCCACAGGATTCCACAGATGCGAAAAAATGAGTGGGACCCCCTGGTAGGTTGACATAGCATAACATAGCTATGGACAATTGCGTGTCATCTATATGAAGCTATTTTTTTCATAGATGATGTTCAATGGCTATCTTAAATTAACAGAGACTCAACAAGATACCGGGTGTTTCAATGTGTTTCATAGAAAAAAACACGCTATCCAAAACGGGTGTGAAAAATCGCCCCTACATTCTCCATGGTGTTTCAAATCGCCAGGTGGGGTCAACGATAGCGACTAGTCGCTTTAGGTTAACTATGGCATAACTATATTAGGGTTGATCGTAGAATATCGTAGATATATCTAGTTAATGGATGTGAATGGATGTTCATGGATGTTCATGGGGTTTCTAGAAGAAACATGAAAAAACAACTTATATGTGGGGGGCGGAAAACCCTGCAAGATGATAGTTGTGAGAGGTTGTGTTTGTTACGATGATAGTTGCACAACGGATTTCCATCCTCTACGTTCTGCCGGTTTCTGCTCATACTTTCAGTTCCTCAGATCATCACAAAATGGTGCCCACAATCCAGCTTTACTCAGACTTATGCATGATGCATATTCTAAGTACATCTAAGACTCTAAGATATCCTAAGATCCATAGATGTTCGATGGGTCTACCAACTTGCAACGAAAGGTAGCATCACTTTGCGAATCATGGTGAAAAACCGGGCTACTTTTCTTAGGACGTCAGGCCATCTTTTATCGTCTCCCAGGGGGATCGTAGGGAACCTATGGATTTTTTGGATGCTGTGTTTCCGCAACCAATGATGCATCATCCCATTTCTATACCCAAGAAACCTCCATTGGGGATGATACCCTCTAGTAAACTAACATAACTATGGAACATCACAATTTTCAATGGGAAAATCCACTATAAATGGAAATTTCAATAGCTATGTTAGTTTACCAGAGGGCAAAAATTACTAAGTTATCCCATAAAGAGCCATTATCATCCCACTATTGGATTAACCCACTATTACCGCCCATCAACATACGAAAAATCCCACTATTACCCTCTGGTAAACGGGCTAACATAACTACGAGCGCTTGTATGGAAAACCACCATGTTCAATGGGTAAATCATCTATAAATCGCCATCTTCAAGTTCGCAAGTTCGCTTAGGGCTTAGTTTACCAGAGGGTTGACTCGCTTGACCAGATCAACACTACCCTCTGGAAATTTGACATAGCTATTGAAAATGGCCCATGTATAGCTGATTTTCCCATAAAAATGGTGATTTTAACCATACTAGTAGTTATGTTAGCCCGTTTGCCAGGCCGGGTCTTCGCGTCCTCCCAAGAATTCTTGGACTTTCCGCCGCCCTTGGAGCCCTTGGAGCCCTTGGAGCTCTTACCCTTTCCCTTTCCCTGGCTTCACCATGGAAGCGGCAAAATGAAGCGCAGTTTTTATCCAAAAGGAATCAAACACCTCTAGAACCCATGATACAAAAACCGAGTTCTTGCTTGAATTTGCGATGTATAGGTCCAGACTAAACTCATATACTCATTCATTCATGGTTTTTCGTTTTAAAATATACAACACCCCAGAAGCATGGAATAACAAAGAATGTCGTGGATCTGTCCATATTGCGAATGCGGGAATCTATTTAACGGCAGGATGATGTTTTCAAGTGTTTTCCACGGGATGTTTGCTGCTCAATTTTCATGTGGTTTGGAAACTCAATTCGTAGCTTGGATACCCATAGCTATGTGCTCCCTCCTATCCATGGGAAAGGTCCGTGCATCGGCCTTGGGCTCATCGTAGTCATCATACCTCAGCACGATGGCTGGCCGCTTGAATGAAGATTGGCTCAGTTGGGGTGAACTGTGAACTTTGGACCGATGTAACATCTTGCTGTAGTATTGAAATATCATATGCCATCATATTATATCTACAGCCCAAATTTGGAGGTTCTGACCCATAATCTAGCCGGCCTTAAACATGCTGAAGTGTTCAAAACTTGGGTCAAAACCGGGGTCAAAACTGGATTGCAGTCCTGCAGCATGTGATGCATTACATAATTATCAATTACGGTATCTAGGATCAACAACACCAAGCAGCATAACCACCATAAGCACCAAGCATTGTAAGCAGCAACGCCAAGTGAAGCCAAGTGACTTGCTTTTGCTCTTGCTCTTTCCCTTGCTCTTTCCTTTTCCCTTGCCCTTCGAGGGTGAAGCGTAGTCATCTTCATACTTACCCTGCCAAGTTGCGGCAATGATCAACTCTAACTCTGGGATGGAAATGTGCATGTCTTAGGTGACGAACAACAAATGGATAAATGGGTCATGTAAACAAGGGGTAACACCCCTTCCTGCAATCCAACAAAGAAAAAAAACACACTTTTCAATCCAAAGCATATTGCTGAAATTTGCTGAAGCTCCTCCAAAACTTAAAACTGAATCACCGCATGATATCCAAAACCATGGGCCCTTAGTATTCAATACCCCCAAACGAAACAGTGGTGAAATGTGGGAAATTAGGGGATGAGAATCCTAAAACATTGCAACTCCCTATGAATGGTGGTATGACCATCTCCCCAAAAATGGGTAGTGTCCGCAAGTTATGACTATGGGAGATCCGGAAAAAAAACACATGGTTTTAAACCAGATTTTGCCACTTGAAATAAAACCATTGAAACTGTTGTTCATACCCCTAAAAAATCATCTGCACCCGATTCTTCCAGGGATTCCAGGCTCATCGAGGTCAAAGCATTGGGGCCTACCCTCCGGGTTTATCAAATGTGGGGATGGGAAGGATGGGAAGCCTCCCATGAAGTTCGATGATTTTCGCTCTAAAACCTCCATGGCTAGTTCCGGAATTCTCCAAATTTGCCATGTTTGATGACACCGGAGGGTCAAAAATGCAAAGCATGGAGAAAACACCATGGAGAGAATCACATGACATGATATCCAAAGGCCACCACTGCATAGTGTTCGGCCTTGGAACTCTTGCCTTTGCCTTTGCTCTTTCCTGGTTGTGATCCCTTCGATCATATGAAATAGCATGAAATAGCCACCCTGCTGGTCGAAATCCTGATGTATTGGATTTATCAATTTTGTAAGTCCCATATTGGGGGGAAGTTTATATATGTTATATATGTTTATGTTTACATATATGATCATATATGTTTACAATGATGGGGATGAGATTGGTACAAAAAGACCAATCCGACAATTATTCAACTTACGACTGTCTTCTCAGCAACTGGCCAATAGAAAGCCACTTACATCTGGGAATTGGCCTGTTGTTGAGCCGGTTTCAAATGCCTCTCCAAGACACAACCACAAAACCCACCATAGATCATAGTTGAAGGGACCAAATATGTGGCTTTTTGATTTCCGAAACAAAAAGGGATCGAAAAGAAGCGGAGAAACCTTCACAGCTGGGCCAGGATAGTCTGCCTTGTGGGATGACCATCAAACACCCTAGGCATCTTAAACCAAAGGTACCGAACATCAAGTGGGACCGAACATCAAGTGCTTCACCCTGCTATAACAAACTTACCCTCTGGTAAACTAACATAGATATTGAAAATGGCCATTTATAGTGAGTTTTCCCATTAATAATGGTGATTTTCAATAGCTATGTTAAATTACCAGAGGGTATACAATATCAAATGCGACTACATCCTGATAGTTGGACTGGATCGTAGACAGTGTCAGCACCCAGCCATGCTCCCCAAGTAACGACTTGCCAAATTGCCTTGATGCATATGATGTGATACAAAAGGATACAAGATAACCTTTGGGTAGAAAATCTGAAAGTTGCTGGAAGAGTCCTTTCGCAAGGGTGCCAACAAAAACTGGCAAATATATTAAAATGATTTAAAATGTAATGATATCGACGAAGGATATCTAATTGTTTTTTACATGTTCTTTCCCATCTCTACTCACCGTTTCGGGGCCTTGCCGCGGCCTTTGCCCTTCCTTAGGGGGAACGGCAAGGGATATTCTCAAGAGCCTAACCTTGAACTAGGGAAAGCACATGAAGGTTCTCTCTTCATGTTAGCTAAATATGTTCTTTGTCCATGGCAAAGTCTGTTCTTTTTTGTATGATTCATAGGTTTCAAGGCCTAAGCTTGTGGTTCACAGCACTGGAGTTGTGGCACGTCCTCACCTGCCTGGATGATCCTTGGGGTCCCCAAGGGGTCCCCAAGGGGTCCCCAAGGAAGACTCTCCCCGCTGGTCTGAATAAAAATTGGGTACCCCAAACTTCACTGGTTAATCACGATTTTCCTCATTAAAATTGCCAAAATTGCTGTAACTTGCTGGTAGACCTTATTTTCAGACAGAAACAAATATCATAGAGTTGGTTAGTTGTATCCGTTCATATGCCATTCATGTTTTTCATATCCCATTTTTGGGGTGTATCCCCGGCCTGTATATATATATAATAATATATATATATAATATAAATATATAATTTCATCTCCTCCACCTTCCCTTGCAACGCAAACCCAAAGATCCCAAAGCCTAGTGACCCTCGCCCGCGACCAGTAGAACCCTTGCCGCGGCCTGCACCGGTGTTTTCTTTCGGAGGAAAGTTGTGGAGGATTTCCCATGACTTCAAGTGGACAGGATGGGTCATAGTGGGATTATAATTACATAATATATATATATATAATTATTATATAATTATATATATATAGGTATGATATGTATTATATAACTTGTATAACCAAACATCTATGGGATATACAGTAATGGGCTTTTAAAAAAATCAGTTGATGTACCCTCCGGTGTGCATTCAGCTTGGATTCCCCAGTCGTAGTGGATTTCTCATCCAGGTAGCCTCTGGAAAGAAATTGTGGATGGTTCAGAAATCCATCCACAACCACCAAAAGGATGCTTGAAACCCAAAGAATGGGACGTTTACCCTCTGGAAATTTAAGTTACATACATAGCTATTGAAAATGACCATAGAAATAGTGGATTTACCCAGCTATGAAATGGTGATTTTCCATAGTTATGTGAACGTTTACCAGAGGGCAAGTGAACGTGGTCTTATTCGGGATACGATGGTCACCGCTACAGTCGATCTTCCACACGTCATAGCTGATTTTGGGACCCAGCAGCCTACCCATGAAACCAATCCCCAAATCTGATGGCCAAAACCATGAAAAACACCCATGGCTTCATCCCCATTCACTATTCCTGTTTTTCAGCTGTTGATCCAACAACTGTTCCCATGGTGAACCACCCAATTTTTTTTTGCTGGGTGAATTGATTAAAAAAAAAAACCTTCCAATCATCATCAATCATCCACCTCTTTCGCAGGTGGAACCCAAGTGCCTTTCGAAGTGCCTCCTCCTCGGCCCCTGCCTCTCATCATGTCCTGCAAAAATGAGGGAGGCGATACCTTGTCACTCAGCAAATGTTAAAGCTATAAACACAGAAAACCAAATGATAAACCCAGTCTTCGGCAGATGCGCATTATACCAAAGATACAAACCATTGTGGCGTGTTTGTGTGTGCGTGTCTGTGTGCGTGTCTGTATATATATATATATATATGCATATCCTTCAGGTAATCACCTGAAAAATCATGGCAATCATGGCAACGGTAAAATTCCTATGGGTTCTTTCAAAAACAGGTCGGTCGAATCTGGACGTCGTCTGGACGTGTCCTCGGGATCAAACTCTTTCACCAAGGATTCATCGATGGGAGGCTGGTAGCCCTTGTCGCTGGAATCCAGGGGCTCCTGGGCTCGATGACAGGGACTTGGGGTTGGAATGATCATCAAAAATGAAAGAAATATGCATAGTTCGAAAGGAAATATGGATAAGTTTGGAATTAAACTCGGACTGATTTAGATAGATTTGGATTTGGATGGATTTGGTTAGTCCACAATTGGTTGGTGTACTAATTACTTGGTTGATAATTGGTTTTGATTAATTAGTCAAGATATTTCAAATTACCATAATCCGTGAGTTGGCTAATCCCGATCAAAACCTACCATTATTTCAAGGGACCGCAGCACATGTGCATCCAGGAGTTTCCATATTGTTCCTTAAAGATCGAACAGGGGCTGCTCCCGGGCCACTCCAGATCGGTTTCGTGGGGAAAATTGATAGATAAAGACGAGATAATATGTATAATATACAGTGTATATATATATATATATAATAAGGTGACCTATGTTTTTGTTTCCCTTGTGGCTATCTTTCACCTAGTGGTTGGAGAAACTATGTTCATTATTCTACGGGTATCATTGTATCATTGTCTTATATTGTCTTATAGATAATCTTGAGAGAGAAAACAGGCAATGTTGTTTTTCCGTCCCAAGCTGGCTATCACCATCTCGCTTGGAGACACCCTGTGTTTTTCAAGGACGGATTCCGAAGATGAGGTACAAAGATCCGCAGCACCCGCACCAAGACATGGCAAGTCAGGGGATAGTCATTATCATAAAGTGGCATATTCAACAATTCCATCTGGGAATGTAGACTGGTTGGTGGTATACCTATCCCTGTGAAAAATATGATTTCGTCAGTTGGGATGATAAAGTTTCGAACTGAATGGAAAGTCATAACATTCATGTTCCAAACCACCAACCAGGATATATTGTACATATTACATATAGCTCTATACATATATAATTCTCTCTGTCTCTATATATACGTATGTATATAGATATACCACTACTAATGGATTGATGACATTCCCCCCAATTGAAAAAAAATGGAGATATGTATTACAGTACGTATGGAAGAGTCATCTACAATTGGAGGATTTTCCAGCCACCTTTGAGCAGAGGCTACATCCCCAGAACATGTGCCAGCTTGATTCATCGTCACCAAGGATGAACAAATTGTTTTTGAGCCTCCATTTTCGCATCCAAATTCTTGAAATCATCATTTTGGAGAGTCAAACAACAATTTCTCCGAAATCCAGTCCCCAAATCAACCAATGTTGAAATCCACAAAATTCCACCGGACAAAAAACGATGCGTCCTGGTGAAATCAACATGGAAACGTCCACGACAAACACGACCCGATGCTCCGTGGACTCCGTCCTTCGACAACTTGATCTCCACCACGGAGACGTTTCGGACATCTGTGACCTCTGGGAGCTGCGAGGCAGAGGAGCTGCGGATGGTGATAGCGATGGCATAGGTCTATTGCTTTCCAAGGGAAAAAAATGAGAAAATCCACGTTGGAATGGATGGTTGATGATTGCAGCATTAGTACTATATTTGTTGGTGGTTGCTACCATCTGATATTTAACGTAGCGAACTGGAACATAACCATTGTTACAAGGTAAATCATCATAAATCGTCTATTATTGGGATAGTTTTCATAGCTATGTCAAATAGCCAGAGGGTACTACTAGTACCCTGTAACTACCAGTAGTACCGCACAAGGCGGTGGCGGAAGTTTCAGAAATAGGAAACCTAGAGGAGAGGTTGGTTGTTGTGAATCACGGATGGCAGAGCGAAGCCACTGATGGATCGAAAGGTGGTTGAGGTCTCCTCTCTTTCTCTCTCTTTCTCTCTCTTTCTCTCTCTTTCTCTCTCTTTCTCTCTCTTTCTCTCTCTTTCTCTCTCTTTCTCTCTCTTTCTCTGACTATATACCTACCTACCTACCTATCTATCTATGTATCTATCTATCTACCTACCTACCTATCTATGTATCTATCTATCTATCTACCTACCTATCTATCTATGTATCTATCTATCTATCTATCGATCTATCTATCTATCGATCTATCTATCTATATCTATCTATCTATCTGTCTGTCTATCTATCTATCTATCTATGTATCTATCTATCTACCTACCTATCTATGTATCTATCTATCTATCTACCTATCTATCTATCTATCTGTCTGTCTGTCTGTCTGTCTGTCTATCTAATTATCTATCTATCTACCTATCTATCTCTCTGTCTGTCTGTCTATCTATCTATCTATCTCTCTCTCTCTATCTCTGTCTGTCTGTCTGTCTGTCTGTCTATCTAACTGTCTATCTGCAAGCGTGATAACGAAGCAATTCAGCAAGACTTCCTCAATTTTTGCACTTGACAACATCAAAAACGAAACAATTCTGTGAGACCTCCTCATTTTCCGAAGTTGACAACATCAAAAAAGAAACAATTCTGTGAGACTTCCTTCGAAAATGGAAAGTTGAGTGCAGAGCTGACGGCCTCGTACCATTGCGTTTTGCGATTTTTCCACTCCACCTGTCTAAAGTACTGCGCCTGCCACGAAAAAGTGATGCCAGGTCATACGAAGTGCTGCACCTGTCAAGCAAAATCATCTCAGCAAACCTGAAGATCTGACACTCCAAAATGCAACCCCTCTCAGGAAATGAGCGCCCTGACCTCCGAACATCTCTGATGAACATGTCTCTGGTACTGCGCCTGCCACGGAAAATGCATCTTTGCAGATCCTCTTCAAATGTCCCACGCCTGCCATCGTTTTTGGAAATGCTACAAAACCCTCACGTTTTGCTCGCTTTTGACAAGGTGCACAATCCCTTGCGCCTGCCACGCGAAACGACATCTGAACGTCCAAAACTGGTGTTTTTAACGTTTTGACTTCGAAATGTGCTTCGCGCCACAACGGTTCCAAAAGTGGTCCGGACCTGGTGTGTTTCGTACGTTTTGACTTCGAAATGTGCTTCGCGCCACAACGCCGTGCACTTTTTCGACATCTCAACTTCAAGGAGTGTTCCGAATGTGAGGTGTTTTAAGTTTTTCACTTGCAAATGTGCTTCGCGCCACAACGGCGTGCAATTGTTCATCTCTCATCTGGCCAGCTGGCTCCGCACCTGCCGCTTTAGCGAGCCTACTTTTCGACCCTCCGGAGCCACAAATCATTGGAAAAACACAGTGTTTCGCGACTTTCCTACCTTTTCGCGCACCTGGATCTTCTTTCTTCTGAGACTTTCTCTTTTGTGATCTTCTGTCTTCTTCTCTTCTCTTCTCTGACTCTTTCCATCTCTGCTTTTCATCTGTCCATATTGTCGGAAGTTTGACTTCTAAACTTCCTTCGATTATATAATCATTACTAATCTAATGGCAGTGCATTTATTGTCATCATCATATTATTATCATTTCTATCTATAGCTATTGACAACTATCACTATGATTGTTGCTATAATATATATATATATATTGGTTATTGTTACTAGCATTATTCTTTAGTTATCAGTGTCATTGTTCACGGCATCATGATGATTCTTACGATCATCATAAATATTTTTATTTTTATTATCATGTTGTATTAGATTGTTCTTTGTGCATATCATTGCCAGTATTATCATATTCTATCCTACAACTATGCAACTATTAGTACTATAAAATATGTCATATCTCAAACTCCGACACCTGAAAGAATGGAAACTTTTCCAACATGTTCTCCACTCAGCTTCCGGTACATGCACCGGGCGACATCCATCCCACGATCTTACGCCCCAACAAAACTTGTATCAATGGATTGTTTTATGGGTAAATGTCCTTTCCTGTAAATCTTACTGGTGCTTATATAGCAGGGAATTTTCGGGAATGATCCCAGTCATCACTAGTAATAATCATCCCAGCAACCCCCAGCAACCCATCCATTCCCTGCGTTTAGCACCAGTAAGAAATGGATTCCAAAGCAAGTCTGGGATACAACAATCCTGACCAGTTCTCAACCATTCCCCCATGCACCTTGTCCAATCCTTCCTCCAACGGTTCGTACTCATCCACAATCTCCACCTTGAGAAAACAGCTGCAGCACCGAACAAAACCCTAGATGTTCGGGGTGAAAAAACTCCATCATTCCATTGAAAATGGGTAGAAACCTGCACTGCGCAACAAACTTTTTGGATCTACTAAGGCCATAGTAGGATAGTAGGCAAATGTAGGCAATATAGTAACCTATCGTAGATGGGTTCTGATGAAGTTCTTTTTTTTTGTGTTACCAGCTGATATCACCATGGGTTGTACCTTTTTTGAGCTTGCTAGAACCATCCCAAATCATCAACTGGGCATCTCAATCGGTGGACTCCTGGAAGGGGATAGGAACGCGATCAACCCATGAAAAAGCACGAAGCATGCGAATCTACCCACGGAAATGGTGATAGTAAGAAAAAACTAGTGTTCTGAATGTTATTATTGTTCAGGTATCCTCCAATGTTTGTTTCTCACGATTACCATGGAACAACTTTCGAAACAGGGCAGCCACTTGCCAGACTTCCTGCGCCAAGATACCGTTTTCAGCTCAGTGATTTGATGCAGACCCTTGAAACGCCTCTTAATGACCTGATTCGTCATGGTGATACGATGTGATCCGGCACAAAAATAAGTACAGCTTCTCATTATACAGTGCATTATAGATATTTATACAAGAAACGCCGTATGATGCCGTACGTATGGGCCTGCAGAAAGGGGGATGGTTGAAAGTTGGGTAAGTTCGAACCTTCTTTTCTTGGATGGCTCAGGACTACACATGGCCATGGCCTTGTTCCAAGGTGTTTCGTCTCAAATTTTGACCCAAACAGCAGCATGACACCTCAACATGGCGGAGAGGTTATAGCTGTGGTGCAACTACGCGTCGTTCTCTTGCGCAGATATACTGTACATGAACAGCAAACATTTGGGGAGACGTGCCAAGGCAAAGATGGAACTGTGCGCTTCAAGCTGCTCACCAGCTACAGGTTATAAAAGAAGTCCCCCTCTGGGAATTAAACATGCCAATGGGCAATCCTGGGCAATTAAAGAGAAATTCATCTAAAAATCGGCGATGTCCAAGCCATGTTTGATCCCTTGATGAGCATCCAAAGGATGGGCTGTTCAAAGGGCACAAGCGACAAGAAAATAATATCAACCAACCATCGTTTATCAACTTGATGCCCATATGATTGCTGGTTAGTTAAACCCCGTAAAAATCCATACAACCTCTATGAATGATGGTTGACAATGATCGTTAGCCTCTGGTATCCCTCCGGTAAACTAACATAGCGCTATGAACATTCACCATTTTGAAGGTCGGTAGATCAACGAACCAAAGGGGCCATAGTCCATAGCTGTGATAAGTTACGAGGCGGTTTGTGACGGTATATCCTTTTTTGGTCTTCAACCACCCTGCAGTCAATAAGGGCTTATCATGGTTTATCAATGGCTTATCAACCACCAACAACCACAACTCCTATCGACTTGATCACACCCACAGTAAAAAATACACACATCAGGGCTACACGACTTGCAGACAAACCCAAAATCATGCTTCAAAGATGGCTTGTTTTCGCAGAAAAATAGAACCATGGTCATCAATTCACACAGGTTGATGTACCCATGGCCATGGGATTCCACCATGGCCTGGATGACCCAAAGAAACATAGACCATCTTTTCATCACAACCCAAATCACCACGAAGATTCAACGAACTCCCCAGTCCGGTGACTGTTTTTTTTTTTAAATGGCTAATTCACCACCAAGACCCACGATAAGGGCGAATCTTAAGCATCATTTTTTGAATTCTTAGTTATGAGGCTATAATCAACTTTTAATTCTTGGCTATAAGGTTAACAAACCATTAGTAAGGTTCGAAGGTTCATAAGCCATAAATCACCATCCCTTACCTTCCAGTTACCTGTCAGAGGTAACGAACCCCGAATCATGAGGCTTCTCATCACCCTGACCAGTGATCTATCTCAGAGGTGATTTGAAGGTTAGGGCATTGTGAAAGTGTAAGGTTGTAACAAGCCATCAATTGTTGGTTATCAAGTTAATACGGCACAAACTAGTGGTTGGTTAATAAGCCGTGAATAACCACTTTGAATGCGATTTTGAATGTTATTAGATATATATATATATACCTTAACCAACCAAAACCTTTAAAAATAAAGGGTTCATGTGTAAACCCGGGGTTTGAGAAGTAAACCCGAGGTTTGTGATTTTCCAATATGTCCAGCATCAGCCATCCTCAGCCCTGTGCCTCAAGTTCGCTGTGACCTTTGATTTTTTCCCCATGGTGCCAACATCCACCCAATGGATCCTTGGCCTGATACCGGGGGTGGATGCCAGGGTCTGACAAAGCGATGATATATATTTGATATTGTTTATATTCTATATAAATTCCTTCATTCTGTGTGTGCAATTTACTTATGGAATGATCAAGTCTTTGGTTTTCTTGTCACCTCCCCCCTGGACGGACCAAGTATCCAGAGCTAATGAACTGATGGTACGTGCTTTGCAAGTACCTATCCATAACCCTGTGTAAAACGGGCATTTGCGCAGTTACCCTCCTCGTCAATCTGGATGGGCGGCCAATAAAATCTTCAGATTGTTGGCAACACATCCCCAAGGGATTGAACCCCTTTATGTTGCGCTGATGCTCATCCCAAAGACTGACCATAAAATGGTGTAAACAGTGAAGCTTTGGTTGAAAAATAAACAAACACCTGCCATTGTTTTTGGCAAGTGTTGCACATTGAGCATACCTCCGCAAAAATTGGAAACCACACTCCGCGACTAGTTTGCACTTAGCAGGTTCCAACCACAGACTTGACCGGTAAATGATCCGGCTGCACTGCTGAATAGCCTTGCAAGCATCAGCTGCCAAGCCAAGCAAAGGTTCGTTCGGAAACGTCTCACTGGAAAGCTTTGCTTCAACAAAATTCATGAGAACTGTACTGAGGGATCCTTTGTGCCATGTACCAGTAGGGAAAGATGAGGTGGTATCCCAACCGATGGATTCTTTTGAAATCTTTGTCACATGAGCCCTTTGAGAATTTTGGTGGCACCACAGCCTGTACTTTGCAGAGAGCGCTGAAAACCGACCATCAACCTGACCAGAATCTTCTTGTTCGGACAACAAGGCAAGAATAGAACCCAAGAAGTACTTCAAAACTCCCAGATGCATCGTATGGAACCAGTCAAAGTTCCAAAGGCATGCCTCTTTTCCTGGTTCATGCAGGAGGTGAGTAGCAAACGGCGAGGGCAGCAAAAAAGGGTCCTGAACAAATTCAGTTGCTAGCCATGCTGGCCGGCGGGTTTCAATTTGCTCAAATGGATACTCTGATTGCCCTGCTTTGCACATATGACAAATCCCAACTGGAGGAGACCGTACATTCACCCTTTTCTGAATGTTGTTGAAACTTCGTGAGAAAGAACCGCACTTGTGAAGGAACGGCCAATCACCAATGATCCCGAGTACGACCCCCCAGTATCTTGGACCGTGTTCGCTTTTGACACCTGTCTCCCACATGTAGCGAGCATCCCTTGCAACTGTGTCCATAAGGGTTTGCCATGTCTCGGATTCATCATCTGCGTAGTCTCGTTTCCGTAGGCTAGCAATCAAAAACCGGTTTGTAAATGTATGCCCCGAAAAGTTGCACTCCATCTTTGTCCAGTTTTTTTTGAGCCCACTGCGCTTTGAATTGCCAAATCCAAAGCCTAATAAACTATGAAATGACATCACGAAATGGGCACTGTGTTTCCGTCCCCGCCCCTCGTCTCCGTGGAGGACAAGGGGGATTGCCCTTGATAGACTCAGTGCACCTGAACTTGCCTCCTGAAAAATCTGATGCTGTGGATGAAGCTGTTGATACTGCCTCCAAAACGCACTTAAAATTGCCTCCTCTCTTGCAGGATGTGGCTGGTGCAGCCCGTGGAGTATGTGCATGCAGCTGTTACCCACAAAAAAGTCAAACCAAGTCTGGATTGGTAGAATGGGGATGTGCTTCCAGTCTCCCAGCTGTGTCCTTTCCAGTTTCAGCGACAATGCGAACTTCTTGACTAAGACCCTGTGAACATCTCTTTCTGGGTTCGCCTTGCTACAGCGTGCTATGTTTAGCAGTCCCCCTGATCTTCGCGCGATTTGTTCACCAACGTCAGCAACAAAGTCACTGGCAGCAGAGATGCACGAAGTACATGAGGCCTTAGCAAGCAATGAAAGCAATCTTGAAAGGGCACAGTTCCAAAGTAGCATAGCTAGTCTTCAGGTGTGCTCAGCACATTGTAGTTTGATCATACTGGACATGGAACCCGTTTAGCAAAGTAACAACTTGCAAGCGCGCACAACTGCTTTTCATTTTTTTCAACCTCTAGCAAAGCAACTTGAGAAGACTACCCGTGTAGAGAACACACGTAGCATCCATTTTTGGATTCACTTCACAGGGTTTGATCTCACCCGTATTGTCTCCACCAATGGCTTAATTGGAGGAGGGACCCTGAAAGATCTGTACACAACATATGTGCTGAAACGGGCGCCATCCAAGGAGTTGGTTGGCACCATGACGCTGTCACCGCCAGCTCTGATGTTTTTGCAACCTGGCTTACCTGAGGGAAGGGCTGTCAGGAGGACATATCAATGAGGGGAGCTCATTAAATATACTTGGGATGGCATGTATATAAGTTGTACCTATAGAATATAAGTTAAGTCCTTAACATACTGGTGTCAATCTACCCTGGGTTGTTCCAAAGCATCCTCAATACTCAATACAATAAGTTGCACAAGGTACTTCGGAAGAGTTCGATCAAGGCAGCTTCCAGCATGTAGCCGTAAAGGGTATTGGCCCAACGAAACATTGGGTTGTGTGTGTAGCCCACCTTGAATATTAATGGTTGCTCCTTCTGGATGAGTGTAGACAGCACGGATTTTGCATGCTGCAGTACTCTACCAGCTGAAACGCCAGGAGGTGGAAGTTTGTAATCCAGAAATTCCAAACTTTCGCAGAATCTATGGGCACCAACATTGACTGCGGAATCCTTTCCATGTAGCTTAGGCAAGTCTGTTGTAGAAGAGGACACTGGCTGCTCTGAATCTAAAAAAATCCCCTTTGCTGCCAGTGCAGGGGTGGAGGTCTCTAAAACATCGGCGCTCTGCCCATCATACCCTTGCCCAGGCTCAGCTTGCAGACGGCAATCTGGCACTGTACTGCTGCCCCTTGGCCATGGAAAAGGTCCCAAGCTTTCCTGGGATTGAAGTGGCGCTGGGAACTGGTGCCCCAAGATCTTAAAATCATACAACTTCCAAGCTGGGATTCAAAAGCTGGAAATCATTGATGTTGGGTTGGAGCCAAGATTCTGAACGGTGACAGGTGAGAAGTTCCCATAGCTCATCATATGGATTTTCGTCAGCATCATCACTCATGATATGATTTTGATCTAGTGCCCATCACTCATGATATGTTTTGATGTGGTTTGAACAGAAACATGCAGGTTCCAGGTGGTGTATGCTAGTGACCATGCCGTGCAATGATATTCACAAGTCCACCCACTGTAGATCAAACCAATTTGAGCACTGGACGCCATCACCAATTCTTTGTGAAAAGCCTCTGACAGCATATCCAGGAGCAGGACCTGGCAAGAATACATTCAACAGAATATTATGAATATAATATGTATGAACTTGAACTTGTATTCGCCATGGATTGCTTTTGGAAACTGGTTGTATAGAGATGAATGATAAACAAAAAGATCATTGCATCACCCCTCAAGATAAATCTCAGTTTTCTTCCGCACGCCAGCATCCCGAAAGATCGAGAGTTTCCATTGACTTTCGTCAAGTTGATTGCGGCTAGAGACCGCAATCTTGGACCCCAAAGAAAAGGCCATTTGCGTGTCCAGTTGCTTACTGTAAGTATGACAAAAAGATATGAAAAGCTGAACCATATAGATGTTCATTTTGTGTTGCATTGCTGTAAATCAAATTTTGTAGGACGTGAAGGTTTGAAAGCAACACGCTGCCTTTTGACACTTGAAACATATATCATATATCGTCAGAAGAAAGCCTTTGACTTTTTCTAGCCAGGCTTGGCAAAACACTTTCCCTAATTGTCAGCTGCTTTCTTTTCTTTCTTACTCTTTGGCTTCTTTGCTACTGACTCCGGCTTGTCCTTTCTGTCCTTCTTCTCCTTCTTCTCCTTCTTCGGCTTGGCCGGCTCGCCATCCTCAATGCTCTTGTCGAAGAACTTCTTTTGGCTCCTGGGGTTTTGGCAAACTGCGTTGGATATGGTTCAATTTTCCATGGACACTGGGGAAGGAAAAGTCTGGACCAGTTAAGAACCTTGAGATGCGTCCATGACAACAAGGTGTGTGAAACAACCTAAACCAAAACGAAATCTCTTCACAGACTGAAGGTAGCTTGGCTCCTGGTCTTCAGTTCCACTGCAACGGCTTTCGAGCACCTTGTGATGGCGCTTGAAAATCTGAAGCTTGAGCAAATTACGTGGTGGTGTGGTTCAGGTTTGACGATTGCAATCCAACATCCTGAGGGAAACTTATATATCTTATAATACTTTGATGTGACTTGGGCTCCGCACGCCAGAGTGGCATGTTTCATTTTGTCCTCAGCAGCATTGTAGAACCTTGCAGGTGGGAGAGATAACTTGCTCAAATCCAGCGGTTGGCCTCAACAAATAATATATAGTACAGCATCGCTACTGTATTAGGACCGACTAGTTTCAAAAAGGCAATGCCAAGTTGGGATGTCAATGGTGATGTTTCTGAAGCTTGATCGATATTGTTTGTGACAATTGGTAAGTCTTAGTGCCCATGGAAGACAAGAAACGACTCAGTAAAGAAGCCTTCGGCTTCCCCTTTTGCCCACACATCCTGGCATGAGTCAAACTGACTGTCCAGGTTTGCGATCTCCTTTTTCAGCTGCTCCACTGACCTAGGCAATTGGCAATGCGCTATGCCGACTTTTTCTGGGACACTGCTTTGATGTGGTTTATAATGTCACTTGATTGCCGATAAACTGGGGAGTGTGCTTTTTGGCACCATCGTCGTCAGCATACTTGGTCTTGAGGTCTTTCACAAGGGCTCGTAATTTCCCAGTCTTGGACATCATGCTATCCAGGAACTTTTTGAACTTGTCTTTCGTCTAGCAGGGACACATGGTAGAGAGAAACATTAATGCGGAGGGAAACCATCATGGGCAGTGCAGTGTGTATACAAGTTGTGAATTCTATGACCCAACCTGCCCAAACTTGCTTTCGGCGTTGGGGCCAAGTGCTGCTGCTTTCTCCTTCTCGGCCAGCTGACGGGTACTGCTTGCCTCCAAACTTTTGAACTTGTCACCAAGCTCAAACTTGGGCTCCTCCGTTGCCTCAAGACAAAGAAGGGGGAAATTGAAACTTAAACAGTTTAGCCAGTTAAGAAGTTATAAGGATTCCTTTTTTCGTGTGACAATGCTCACATCATCCATGAATGTATAGGTCCACCCCCAAAAAAATATAGCCTTTGCTCGCTTTTGTTGGATCTCTTCGTAGCTGTGGGACTCCTGTCGCTTTCCCGACTCCTTCACTATGACCCAGAACTCTTCGTTCCCGTCATACATATTGTGCCTGCATGGCACTAACAATGGAGGGCTGAAGTTCTGTACATGCAACAGATCCAAAATCTCCTTTAAAAAATGGTGAACGAATTGTGTATATATAAAAATATATGGTGTTTCACCAAGTAGTGAACTGAGCATATATCGATAGCATCCTGCAGCTTGCAGGTTGGTTGAGCCTATAGTAGCCCTCGCCCAAAGCTTTGCACCGTGACTTGGCCCCTTCGATCTTGTCCCTGCAGCCGGCCGGGGATGGATGTGAGCATTCATGTGATACAATACATGCATATATCTTGGAGTTATATAAGACCATCAAGCACCAGCTGTATTCTTTTTAAGTTGTCATATGTTGTCATCTGAGATGATTGGACTGAATATGTCATTGGACTTGTTGTGGAATACGTTTTCAATGTGACAACTGTCTATGATAACAAGAATGATAACACATGAAGACCACCAGCACGATTCGAAACAATCAAAGCCAATAGACATACACAAGTCTACTACCTCACAGATTTCAACCTTGAGACTTGGATCAAAATGAGGACAGCTGAGGACCGAACTTGTGCCAATGCAGCTCATCTCTCATCTCGGATTCTGAGTACCAACCTTCGTTAACCGTTAGTTCCACAAGCTGTTTCTTGCTGACCAGAATTCTGAGCTCGTTCAAGAAGCTTTCCTGGCGCAGATTATATGTTTTTTTATTGGTTGGATAATATAGATCATAACTGTCGAGTTCTTAGAAATCCTCAACAAAGATTTAACACACATATATATATAGGTAGTGTGAGTAGACCTATCTGACAGGGCCCAAAGAATATAAACACAGGTCCTCTTGGAAATTGTTCTTGCACAGCAGGTCGGCTATGGCATTTCGGTTTCCTTTCAACCACTCATTCTTAAGCATCTCTGGGGCATTGCGATCCATTCGTTTGCTCTTCGGTTTGACCCAGCGGATGATCTTCGCTTTGGCTGCGTTTCGCAGTTTCACCTGCCAGAAACAAAACATGTTATCATACATTGAATGTCGACACATGTGAAATTCTAAAAGTGTTTGAACAAAATAAGGAGTACATTTCCGTTGCTGAAGAATCCACTCTTTAAACTATGGCCTTCCGGGACACCTCCTTTGCAGCATCTGCTGTTTCACCTTCAGCTGGGGCCCCCTTGCACTCAGGCTGAGATGCTGCGTTGCTGGTCTGAAGTGGAGCTTCAGGAACCTTGGCATCAACCTGTGGCACGGGAGCGCCACCAGTCATGGGACTATCTCCACTAATATCATCACCGCTCTGTTGTTCCACTTGTGGAATAGCTGCATCCGCTCGAACTGGTGTAGGAACTGGCGGCTGGACCCCTGAAGGCTCTGGCTGCACAGCCTGAGAAAATGGACAAGGTCCAAGACTTTCAGTTTGTATATAGTTTCTTTGTCTTATTTTTTGAGATGCCGAAAACCATGTGCTAGTCATGGACAACAGGCTTTTATAGGCTTTTCAGTAAACTGTCCAATCACCAATCACCACCTACCTTCTTGGCCATGGATTCTGCGATCTCCACATCAGTAGCCTCAAGAGTGTCAGTGTCGATAAATTGAAATTCCGAAAGATTCTTGACCTCAAACCTTCATGCGTTTTTGTTTCTAGCCAAGGATTTCGCTGCTATTGTATCTTGCTCCTCGTCAGCAGGGTCTGCCTCAAGCAAGGAGGGTCGATGGTGGTTATGGAGATTATCAAGTTAGTGCTAAGGGTCCAGCAGGTGTTGATGGTACGGATTGTGATTGCAGTTCCTTCTCAATCTGATAGTCCAAATCCTTGCGCTCATATTTGCAGTAAGCTAGGGCCCTAGCGAAGCATGATGATTCCACATATAAACATTGTTGAATATCAGCGGTCCTGAATTTGCCGCAACAGATCTTGTTCATCATCCATATGTTGGAGATATACCACGCCATCTTGTAAGGTGGCGCAACTGGAACCCAGGGTAGCCATTGACCCAGACATGGTGGCAGCTTTTCAGCTGACAATTTTTTCAGCTGGCAATTTTTTCAAAAGACCTAGGGCCAAGATGCAATCGAAATGAAAATCAGGATGTGTGTAGTGAATGTACTTTAGGATGGCAAGCTGCTCTCAAACATATATCATTCAACATAGGCTTGTAACATCTACAATGTGCACGCAGTGTTTGGCACTACTTTGTCCCACTTGAGATCGATTGATTTGACATGCTGTCAGAGAACGTTCGGACTAAAGATGCCGACGAATTTAGGTGCAGCAGGTATTCCAGCTACACCCAAAAGTAAGTTTCAAGCCGCAAAAATGAGGTCACAATGGGGGGGTTCGAACCCATTATTTTTTATAGGGTTAGTACGGGTAAAATATGGGTTGGATACTACTTCAGTACGGGTTTGGAAAACCCGAGGTTTTAGTACAAACCCGGGGTTTTACCTCCAAAAATATGGGTTAGTACGGGTAAATAATGGGTTGAATACTACTTCAGTACGGGTTTGAGTTTCAACCCTTTTTTTTTCCGAAAAAAAATCAAAAATCTTTACTTTTGCGAATCCACATAGCTTTGTTGTCGGTTGAAAAATTAGATTTTCTGATTAAGATACTTCGGGTCAATATATCTTCGCAAAAAAATCACCCCTAGGAGACCTCATACAAACGAGCTGGCAATAGTGCCTGCCACTCCGCTGGAATGCGCAACTTTTTGTTGCGGCGTAAATAATCGTAAACTTCGGTAAAGCAAGTGGTTCTCCAAATTTCAGGGTCAGCGTATTCCATCTGTTGAAATGATGTCAATGCCTCGGGCACTGGGTCTGGAAGCTCAGGTTTTCCTTTGCAGGCAGCCTTCAAGTCCTCCAGCATGTCGCAGAATGCACGGGCAAAAGGCACCGGGTAAATCCTGAGCACGGTGGGCTGTGGTGAACATGGAGCATTTGAGTCTCTGAAAGTTGATGGTGGGTGGTTGCTATTCAAAAAAACCTTTTGTTCATAGATTGCTGTGATGAAAGTATGAAGTACTCCCTTAAGTCAACAACAAAAGGCTTTTAATTGCAACCAGCCACCAGGATATTTTACATAGGTCCCACGTAAGTAGAAAAAGATATCGGAAAACTTGTACTGCATTGGAACAATCAAGGGGCTCCGTACTTTTCAATGACGTGGTTCCCTTGTACCGCTTTTTCCCATTGGCATCAATGTAACGGGTTGCTGTCACCACACCATTCTCCTCTTTCTTCTTGGCCTTCCACCCTTGAAGAACGCCTTTGTCCAAGCGATGAATCGGTTTGGAATTGGAGTATGCATAGTGGCGCTTCGGGGTAAGGCTTTTGAAGTGGTGCATCCACCATCTTACGTTCTGCACCTGAGTATGTGTTGGGACTAATTGGTGCAGCAAAAAAAATGGTGCCACACAACAGTAAGCTTTTACAATCCAACACTGGGTTTTGTCATGCGGATCATGAGTATATTTCGAAAGTTCTGATGTTGTTTAGGGGCCCGGCTGCGTCTGGACCACCGCTGTCAAAAATACTTCGGATGGTCTCCCTGAAGGCCGGGTAATATTCTGCCAGACTACCGGATGGTTGTTCAAGACTCCATGCGGCACCAAGACAGGTGCAGAGCAAGATCAGTAAACAACTCCTGGCGGAGGCTGGTTGGTCAACCTTGGCATTGGGTGGATACCCCAAACCCAATGGTTTGAAAACCCGAAGGGGGAACTTTTAAAATTTATAAAGGTCTGGATGGGAATACATGCATCTATGAGCCACTTTGGTTGGTAAAAGGGCAACTCTTTTTTTGGTGTATTGTATGTTAATATATACCATATCATAAATACCACATTTTATGACCTGGAGAACAGGGAAACAGAATCTATATATATTATAAACCAATCCTCTCCATCAGCATGTTGCCAGTATTTACTGACTGGTACTCTTCCACCCCGATGGCAGTGCATGCTGAACGTGCAGATGTTCCAGTGTTCATCTTGCTGAAGGATGCGCATTTTAGTCCAAAATGAACCCCAAAGTCGTCCAGTTTTCCACGTAGTACGGCAAGGGTAGCTAGCCTCAGCTTTGTGACGGGATTGAAAGTTCATGGAATTGTGACCCAAGAAAAGAAGTTCAACAATTCATATCAAATCCAATTGTGGTGGTCCATATCTTGCAACGTATTTTCAAGAAACCAAGGAACGCGAACCCTGAAGGGTCGGTAAGGTCCATGAAATTAGACCTCCTATGTGCTTCCTTGTCATGGTCAATCAAATCGAAACGAACGGCTTTGTACTGAGTCATGGCCATCGTTCGGGTCAAATTGCCCTGGCCGGCGAAGAATTCCAACCATTCATAGCCCTGCCCAGGGTTTTGCATGGAGCGGATTTAACATGATAACTTTTTGGCACTGCAACCCGTGGCATGCTGGCCTGCGTGGTGTCATGGGTGAACAGAAGCAAGGCTATCACCATCGCAAACTCCTGACGAGCCGCTTTGGTGCAAACATAGAAACCGAATCGACCAGGGGAACATGTAAGGGCCAGGTGGATCACATCACACAGCAGTAGCAGAGAAGTATATTATATATGTTAATTTCAGAAGTAAACTGTTGGGTTGGGAGTGGCTCCTTTGGAGTACGAAGCTTGCGTAGGCGAAACATCAAATGGTCCATGTTGACCATGGCGAAAAGAGCACGGCCGGTTTCAGACCAGAATGAACCGTTGTTTTATCCATGCAAGAGGGAATGAAAAAATGTATACATCCTGTTTACTTGATTTTTGTTTGTACTTTAAACATGAGAAGCGTCGGTGAAATGAAGCACTGTTTTTCGTTTGCCAGTTTCAAATCTTGATGTCTATTTCTCGTACTGGTGAACGAGGAGTGCAATGGCTGAAAAAAATATCTCCATCACTGCCAAGACAAGGTTGCTAGTTCAACCCATTTCAGCACTAAACAGTTTGAAACACGCCCCGGTGACGTTTCTTCTTGAGCGTGTTCACACGCACTTGCCACAGGCCATTGCGCCTCTGGAGTTTCCGCCAATGGCCTGGCCTTAGCAGGACAGTTGGAGCGAAAGGGAAGTTGGGGAAAACTTTCTGAGGTGCTGTGGAAGTCTGGGGATCAACCAGGGGATCATTGGTTATACTTTTACTACCGGTTATTTCATTTGATCAAAAGCATTTTTTTGGAACATCGACTGAAAGTTGAAGACACTGCAGTCAAAAAAGCGGTCCTTTTTGTTCTTCGACCTGGCTCTGAATCCTCGTTCTCCATTGCAGAGACTAGGCTGGCTCCAGAAAGGGCTAAGATCAATTTACCCAAGAGCACCTAACTTCAAATGGCGTTTTCATGCCGGTTAAGGGTCATCCACGACTGGCTGAATAGAAAGGGGATTCCCCTTTTCCCAAGTCTGAAGCGTCCAGCTCTTTGCCTCAAATATATAGCGATCTAAATGTCAAGTTTGACAAGCGCCCGGGCTACAGTTCCCAAAAGGTTCCACGACATAAAGAATAATATAATTCTAACAGGAAGAATCTTGAAACATCTTCAAACATATCACATATCAAAAAAACATATCATATATTATAAGTCATAGTATGTATAAACAATTTTTTGGGGTGACCAATGCAAAATGTTGATTCCTTTCCCACACTGCAATGCCACAAATGGGAGTGCCACCTGCAAACAACGCACATGCTCTGTGTGCAAACCCGCGCAAGATGTTTGCATCTTGCAACCCCGCACACTTGAACACAGCTAAAGCGCTGTAACCTATGTGGCACGTGACCCACCTGTTTGGCACACACACGAAAGTCAGGGACTGCATCGAGCGCAAATGCTCATGATCTTTTCATGAGTCAGGTTTATCAAAGTTCATGGGTGAACATATTCACAGCATCGGTGTGGATTTCCTTGAGCTGACATGTCATGTTGATCACCTTGGGGTGCTCCTTCATCTTCTCATCTTCACGAGTTGTGTCTCGACCCTTCACCTCATCAACGAAGCGTGCCTCAGCTGGCCAGGAGGTGCGAGTACAATTAAAGAATCTTTAAGATGTATGATACATGTGCTCATATACATGCAGTATATTTGTCATTTCACCCGACTCAGCAAAAACAAAATTATCTCCGCAAGATAGATCTGAAGTTGAGCATTCGTGGAAACTAGAAATAAGCGCCTGCAAGTTGCAAGCATCTCAGCTGCTTTGTGTGCTGCTGCCATTCGAAACTTTTCGGGGCATGCCTTGTTTCTGCTTTGAAAATAGGCCAAATCTGTTTTTTCAGCCCGACATGTGAGTCCCACAGCGGTCCTTGACCAGTACACATTGAGGCGACATGTGTTGCTGAAACATGCCAACCTCATTCGCATCGCTTGGCGGATTTGGGTGTCTTCCTTCAAATCCTGAAACCCTTTCATAAAACTCATAATTTCTTTCAACCTTCCATCCTTTGTTGCTGGCAGAACCATGGAAAACTCAGGTGCTTCTGCCACTGCTGGCTCTGCTTGTGGGTGTGCTGCTCGTGCTCGTGCTTGTGGCCGTGCTGCTCGTGCCCTGGGTGTTCCTTCATTGGTCTGTGGATCTTCTGGTGCATGGCTCTCACTCACACGGCTGTTGCGTGTCCGCTGCTTCCTTTGTTGTTCCTGGTGTGCCTCAGCCTCATCTCCTTTCCTAGAATTCTTTCTCTTCCTCTCCTCCTTGGCCTCTCCTGCAGTGTCATCACCTTCAATAGCTTCCCCTCTCTTTGGTTTCTTGCGTTTGCTTCCTGAGTCATCCTTTGCTTTGATTTTCTTATCCTTGCTGCTGCCGCTGCTGCTAGGTTTCTCCGTGGAGCCTTTGGCTGGTTTGGATAACTCTGCTGGTGCTTTTTTCCGTCGCTTTGGTTCTGCTGCATCTGCTGCGCTGGCTGCAGATTCAGCTTGTTCATTGCCTAACTGGTGCAATTCATAGATACTTTTCTTTTGCTCCAAAATAGCTACTTTGTCCCATGCCTCAACCTCAAACCCTTTCCCGTGCTCATAGTTTTGGGACCAAGTGCATGCTGCATCCCAAGCAGTCCACTCATCAAGGGTGTACCCATAAAAAAATTGCCCCACCATCCATTGCACTTTGCTTGTTTTCCTTTTTGCTATCCTTGGTCTTTCGGGGCTTTCCTTTCTCTGAACCTGCGCTTTTGTCCTTGACAACGCAACCCCTCCCGCGACCTCTCCCGCGTCCTCTCCCTGGCTGAACAAGTTGGTCACCCTCATCCGCTTTTGCTTTCTTGGCATGTTTGAGTTTTAGCTGGTCCATCCTCGTGGTCCTTGCTTTTGGTGGACTCACCTGTCGCGGTTTTAAAACAAAAGCACATGCAAAAGTAAACTGCAAAACGACTTACTATATCAGTTGAAACACTCCTAGTAGGACATGTGATTGACAGGGTTTCAGAACCTACCAAGACCCAAAAACACTGTATGACTTGAAGACAAATGTATACAATATATATGGAATGGTTTCTCTGGCCTCACGGTCGCTTTCCGTGAAATCCTCATCTTCCTTTGCCTTGCATGCTTTCTTCGGTTCATGGGTTCCAGGCTCGGGTCTCTCCTTGTCATAACACTTTGTGTCAGATTGATTGGGTAGGACATTGCCCTTGGTTTGGTACACTTCTCGTTTTTGTTGTGCTGCATGACCTGGCGAAAACAAAGGTTCCTTGTGCTCTGGAGTCTTTGCTGTCATCACATCCACGGGCTGAGTGTCAACTTGGTCGATATGGCCAGCTGCACAATCTTTTTCTACTTTGCGTCCTACCGGTGGAAGCATTTAACATGTGTGTATGTAAAATATTGTAAAATATACTTTACACTCACATGCACCCAAAATGATGAGAGGTTCCCTCCTGCGTCTCCTCTGGTGCTTGCTGAAGCTGGTCTTGGTGTAGTGCCATCACCCAAGCTTGAAGAAGACTTCAAACTCCGCAGCCTGAATTGGAGCATTCTATGTTTTCATTTCTTATGTGTAACTGTTTGCCAATGCAACTCATTGAGATATAATAGTATAGAATTGATATGTGTAAGCCACCCCTTTGTTGCATGTATACGTGTGCATGTGTATATTGTGTGATGATGCAGGTTAACCAGTTTTTCATATATAATACACTTTACTTACATGTTTGCATGTTACAAACTGCAGGCTAGAAACTTGGCTAACTTCGCAACAAGTTCTTCCCTCTTTTGTTGGAGCGTCTCGGCACTACCTTGGGGCTATGGTGCTTTTAAATGAACATGTCCTTTCACTGGTATCTTTGCTCATTGTTTGATACTTGCTGCACATCAGGAGAAAACAAATCAACAACTGGATGCGAGAAAAAAAACATTGTAGATGCTGACAAAGCTACTGTTTGCTTCTTCAGCACTGAGATTGGATTGCTTTGCTTCCTCTTTCCTACAACCCTGGAAAGCCACTGGTGAAACCTCATCCTTTACACCTTGAGCCTCCGTTTTTTCAACATGTCCTTCCTGGGTTGGCTGCCCTTTCTCGAGCTGCTTTGTCTTTGCATCTTCGGGGGAATCCACAGTCACAACAGTATCGGTCTTCCCTTCATCCTTTTTGGTGTCACTTGAACTGGCCAAAGTAGGATTTGGGGATTGTTCGGGATCAGAAGTCTTTTCATGTGGTGTGTCCTGGGGCTGGGTAGCAACAGTAGACCCAACCGGTGCTTCTCCCTCAGAACAGACCGAAGATTCCGAAGATTCATCTTCAGGGTCACCAATGCCACCTGCACTCTCGTCCTCGTCATCACTCTCCTGCGTGATTGCAACAAATGCGGATGGTAATTATATGTCATATCTTTCAATTGAAGGAGGTGTATCCTATCACAAAAAATAGTAACATAGTTGAGGTGCTGATGATTCCTGATTTTTTTGATGTTGAAATAAAATTGAAGGCACTCCTCATCTTCAGTTCTTTTCTGCCGGGCTGCTTTGCGCCCAGCAGTCTTGCGGTTGACTTCATCCACCGTTTCCTCCAGTATGGGCTGCACTATGGAATAGCCGGGAATTACATATACACCTTTACATCACATGAGACAAATGTAAATAATATAGTGTACCCTCAAAGTAAGAATCTTAGCATAGCAGCTTTCCCAGTATATCCCAATATGCCCTCTCTCTCTCTTATATATATATATTTATTTTTGTTTCTTCCCATACGGTACACCACTGTACAATGGTATGCAGGTCACACCACACCTGAAGCGAAGGATTCATCTCCAAGCAAATGTGCTGAAATGCTGGCACCTTGCAATGGGCGCACATGTTGCGACAACCACTATGGTATTTTTTGATTAGCGAAACATGATTTTGATACGCATGACTAATTCAAAAAAGGCACTGACGACACTTCGTGACGACGGACCTTCATTTTGATGAAGCCTAGCATTTTCCTAAGCTTCCAAGCGATCGCCACAACATCGGGACTGTCCTCTAGGGTCTTGCCACGCTTGTTCTTCAAGTAGAAGGACTCCACCTCATCTCGAAGGGTCTCAATGACTGGCATCGGCCTGCTGGTAGTCATACTCATCCGGGTGACCATAGGCTGCAGGGCCGGATAGTTGGCAACAACCGAGGGTATGTCCTCCCCTTGGGGCGTCACCAGCATATCACCACCATCAAGCACCCGGTCACGAAGCTCTTCATGCCCATTCCAATCAAGATGAAGTTGGTCAATGGGTAAAACTTCAACAACGGCATTCTTAGGGCGACCCGCTGGTTTCTTGCGGTTCAACACCATGGTTTTTCAAACCCCACCAAAACTGCTTGAGGAGCCAAATGGCCCTGGAAAATGAGCACCATTTCAAACAGCCACTTGGTTTATTTGCCGGTTCCTATGGCCAACACCTGCTGCAGGACTGGGCTGCCCAACTGGCCAATGGCAGCTGAACTTGACGGCATTGTGCAAAAAGCTGGCGTTGGCTTATCATGGCTGACCGGTGTTTGGTGAACAAAGTACTTTTGGGATCGTGTCAGGAAGCTTGCCCTGTACTCTGATGGGCGAAAAAATACAACACTATTCATCTGAGTTTGAAAGTTTGTTTATTCACGAATAGCTATATATGTTACAATATGTTTTAAAGATCAAGTCATATAGTATATATTGTATCTTATGGTCTATGTTGAATAGCAATGCTCTGATATTCCATGCTGCTCCCCCAGCAGCTTGATCAAAATGATCTGATGCGCCTGGGCTGCAGTGCGGGTGGGAAGATAGGTGAAATTTATATGAAATATATTGTTTTTCAGTGGTATTATCCAAAACCCGAGGTTTTCGGTACAAACCCGATGTTTTTGGGATATTCCTGGAAAACCCGATGTTTATGTTCAAACCCTATAATTTTAAAGGGTTCAGGTTGTAAAGGTATATATATATATATTCATCCATGAAATCTATAGATATATGCTTAACAAACATCCAATCAACCATCTTTCACTTTACCTATGATTAAAAAAAAAAAAAACTTCACCATGAAATCTATAGATCGCCCCTTTAAAACGTTTAAAACACGAGACTTTCCCATGGCCCATGGCGTGAACCCCACAGGCAACACTCGCCTCAGCGGCCGTGACGGCCTTGGTCAAGGCGTTGCCTGTGGCCTGCACGATCACCTCAGGGGACGATCCCGGTTCAAGGTCTACAACTCCAATATTTTTATTAATGGCTACTATATGGTTATTATATGGTTAATGATGGTTAATGATGGTTAATAATAATCTGGTTGTTTAATGATAATCCTGATATGGTTAATGATCGTGGTGACAAACCTATGGATTTTGGGGGTGCCCTTTGGGTGCCTGAAAAAGGTGACATGGTCTAACAATATCAAACATGACTGGTTGGTGGTTGACCTACCCCTCTAAAAAAAACCTGGACTTCGTCAATGGGTTTCGGATGACATCCCATATATGACATGGAAAATAATCCAAATGCTCCAAAAATATGAGTTCAGTTGAGTTGGGATGATGACATTCTCATATATTATGGAAAATAAAATTCATGTTCCAAACCACCAACCAATCAGTGATACTTATTACAAAATGGATTTGTAGACCTGATCTATGATCCATAAGGGATCACCTGAGCTATGGTCTGAGTTATGTTTTTTTATAAATGTCCAATGAACCTTACATCTTATGTCCAGTAATAAGTCTACAGTAGACTCTACTAATCTTTATTTTGTTTCTTGTTATGTCCAATGAAATGTAATAAATAACCATTACAGTATAACAAGACTAATATTTCAAATGATACTTAATTGAAATGATTGTTCACTATCTTGTTCATTGGAAATAACAATGGCCAATGGTTTCATTTTTTATATTCCAATGGTTGTTTCCAATGACATGTAAGAAATAACCATTATAACAATATTATTGTTTCAAATGATACTTATTATAACCGATAATCCCATGGAAATCATAGTCCAATGGATATGTTTTTTTAATCCAACTGGACATGGTGATGTTCAGCAAAACTGGGATTCCAAGAGGGACCATGTAACCATTTCGCATGTAGTGGGAATGAAATGGGACTACCATTGGATGTGTCCCCATTTCGCTGAAGGTTTTTTTTCTGGGATCATCAATAGGGAAACATCTTGAAAAACTATTGCCGTGGTGGACTAGCGGATGGTAAATTCCCGAAAAAAACATTGCTGTAGATTAACATAGGGGATTTAGCCAATCAAAATGAAACAAAAACATGAAAAACAAAATGGGAAAATCATCCTGTAAATATATAGGATGAAGGTTGTGGGCTTAACCAGTCAGAATGTACTCCCGAAAGAATGTATATTTATTGTATATTATGATATGTATATATATATATATATATCCAATCTTATATCTACATATTATCCATATGTTTCTATATATATTCATGTGCATATGTACAATATAATACTTGAGAGTTTTGTATAGAATTGGATATATTAACAGTGTATATATATGTATAGGTATACCTTATACCTGTAAACGCAATACGGGATACATGATGTGTCTAAATGGTTTTTTAATCAAGCGCCAATGAACGTGCGCTGAATGGCCAAAGTGAAGAGAGACACTGGGAGGTACTGTAATGACGCTATCATGTATTATCATGTATTATCCCTACTCCCTTGGACCCCCAGGGAACACAAAAATGTAAGTTTGATTATATAGGTATATATCATATATATATATACATAGTATGTATATATACATATATGTGCATGCATATTGGAATGATTAGCCTGAACATTCCTGAACTACAATTAATATAACCTATCCATAGCTATGAGTCATATAACTGCTGGGATGATATACTGGGATGATCCTGGAACTTACCAATTGATTTGTTTAACATGAGTTTAAAATGTGGGTGTGTCTGAAAATAGTGTACCCCTAAACCCAATGGTCATTATCCCTATTAAATGGCTATAATTGGGAATATACCCTATTTTCAGACAAACCCATGTGTGTCTAAACCATTTGTTTGCAACTTGAGTCAATAGTAGTTAAACACATTTAAAAACTGTGCTTCAGTTCAGTCATGATGTATATTGAAATTGTTAAAAACCCACTTGATTCTTCACGGTCTTCTGCCATGTGTTTACACCAATTGCCAGAACTCACTATCGGTCTGGTCGGAAAATCATTGACGATTTCGGTTGAATTTTCCAGCCATCTGGAAAAAACGAGAGGGTATGCGAATTGATCGAGCTACTCCCCTGGATTTTTCAAGCATATGTTTAATTTGTTTAACCTGCTTAAATGCAACACGGAAACATTCACCACCAATTCTCGTGCCATTGAAAAACAGCTAAGGGAGTTTATTTTTTTCGGTCATCTCATGAAAAACGACTTTCCAATCCCCCTACGCAGAACACTCACATGGGTCTTCATCTCCCCACACGAGTCTTGACCCAAAGAAATTGGTAGATGTAACATCTGGTTTCCTCTGGAGCTATCATTGGTAGATGTAACAATTGACTTTTAGAAGTGGATAACAAATTGGTAGGTGTATATAACATTGGATTGTTATGACTATTTTGGACCAGACACTTTCAGAAAGCCACGAGTTTCATGTGTGTTCTGGCTCGGTCCTCCAATATTTCGTCATGTCATTGCCATGTCGGTGAAGCCCAAAAACACCGCGGCGGCGTTGCGTTGACTCCAAGGCGCATAGGGCTTCTTGAGCTCGTTGAACACCGTGGCCGCACGTGAGACGTACGCCTCAGCACCACTTGACTCATTCAAGTCATGGATGAGCATTTGAGTACCCATAGGATCCATGTATGGTATATATGCCAACATTGGGGGTATATTGATGGTAAATGTTACCATATATAGCATACATGGATGACCATTTGAGTTAATCGGTTAGCCCATGGTGACTTGGAGAAAGTATCGTTTTGAATGGCTCAATAATGATATGTGACTTGGATTTGCTTAAGGAACCAAAAAAAAACTAAAGATTCCCCAAGTAGTGAATTTCCCATTGGGAAATTACCCATCTTCGGCAAATCCAAGATGTTTACTTTTTTTATTGGTTGAACTGCCCTTGCTAGTTCAATGTTCAATTGGCTTGAAATGCACGGAAAAATGCGTCTCTGCCACTGCCGGTGAACATTGCCATTTGAGCCAATTAAAAAAGATCAAAAATACGATGGATGATCATTATCCCAATTCTGGTCGGTGGTTGACCTACCCCTCTGAAAAATATGAGTTCGTCAGTTGAGATAATTGTTCCCAACTGAATGGAAAGTCATAAAATTCATGTTCCAAATGATAAAAGTGTATACTGTTGCTTGTTTTTCTGGCTGTATCCCATGATATCCCTATCTTTGATGGTAAAATTCCTATTTTGATGGATGATCATTATCCCAATTCTGGTTGGTGGTATACCTACTATTGTTACAGTAACCATATTACTAACTACTATTAACCACTATCAACCACTAGGCCAGTAACAGTTGTGCTCATGACCATTATCCCAATTAATTGGGCAGTATGAGTCTCCAAAGATTCGCCGATCCACCAGGCTCTTCCCTGAGCGCGCCCACAGACACGCTGCCAGCGGCCGTCACCCGTATCTCCTCGTCACTCTTCTGGATATCCTCCTGGGGCGGTGGGGGGAGTCTTCCATCGTTTTCCAGCAAAAGAGTGAACACAATGTCCATTGTTTTCCATAGTTGTTGATAGTTTCCACAGTTTTCCTCACAAAAATGGGTGGTTCTTGAGAGAAGAACTGGGATTCACCACAATTCAACTCGGAAAAATGGGGATGTCCTTTTCATTTGATTTGGGTTTGCCCCCAAAAAATATGTGATGCCCGAAAATGACCATGTTCATGAGGAATACTGATGCTAAAACATGTGTGTCCAATTTAAGATGTTTCAATTACTGTATATATATATATTATATATATAATACAATAGATATATTTATTTACATAGTGGGGACAATGATCAATCATGGGATGGACTGGGGTCAGACCCAATTGCAAGCTTGGAACCACGAGCCCTGAGGCTCTCCTTGGGCTTCATGACCTTCCGGTACTTGTCCATCAGCAACGACCTGAAGCCGCGTGAACGCCTGCGTTCCCTACTCCCCGCACGCATTGGCAAAAACAAATCACCAACTGAATCTAAATGGGAATTTCAGAATCCTAAAATGGAGGTACTGTACCATATAAGGCCATATTTTCTGGGGATATTCCCTTACATAGGTCTTATATAGGCCTTATATATGGTAGGTACCTCCAATTTAGGATCCTGGAATGGCCATTCAACTAAATCTAAATGAGAGATATACCAGCTACAATGGGTATGCTGTGGGTTTATAATAAGTTTGGCATGGGTATGCAATGAGTCTTAAAGGCCTAAGTAGTCAGAATTGGAGAGAATTGGCATATCAATATATACATACCTCGACCCTCCACTGCCGAGGAAAAAATGGTCGTTCTAAGAAGATAGGTCAAACAAACCAAAAAATGATTCACTTTGTTCCAAACATGCATGTTTCTGGGAAAATCTCAGCACTACGGCCGGGTACACAAACTGTGATGATTTTTGGAACAACCACAAAAATCCGAAAACTACCTAAAACAACGAGATTTCAGGATTTGCGGTTTTTTGCGTGTTTTTGGGTTTTTTTTGCGGGCTTTTTGCGGGTTTTTTTGCGGGGTTTTGCGGGTTTTATCCCCAGTCGTTTGATGCGCTGCAAACATTTTTTGGCCTTGGTCTCACCAAATCCAAAAACATGCAATCAAAGTCCTAAAATCCAAGATCTAGGTGTTTTGGGTAAAATCAGTCGATATAGGTCAAATTCCGAAAACACCTATATGTTTCTAGGATTTAGGGTCGAGGTATATAATTATTATGGGTGTTGAAGGGAGAACTACAGGAAACCATGCGCTAACCATGCGTCCAAATATGTTGTTCGTTGTCATTCGGATTCTTTTTGACCAATTCCGGGACAATCGGTGGATCTCAACCTACAAAAACATGCATATTACTGTAGATGTAACTCAGCAAAACAAGAGGAACAAAAACAAATAGAAGGTGGTGAAATGGCTTGTGGCTGAGGCATTCCCAAGGTTCAAACGGCCCAAGGGTAATTCTCTTGACAACTTCCACAGGTTTGCAGCTTTCTGGGGAGTTATTCACCGGCCTAGTGACTTATTCTATATTCACTAGACTATATTCGACTAAATTTGTTGGCTGATATATGCTGATATACCCATTTTCAGTGGTACAGAAAAACACAAGTAAACCTGTACCAGCATGTATTCGAAGAATAAATCCCAATTTGCTTGCGATACGCAACTTCACTGGCAAATTTATGGATTTCTCATCACATTCCCACATATTCCCACCATGTGCGAGGTACTCGATACGTGTGACTTGCCAGCGTCGGTGTCCCCGGGGTTTTCGTGGCTCCTGCCCTATGTTTGAGCCGCAGCCGCGCCACAGCACCGAGCGAATCAGAAAAATTCTTGCAGCCAGGGCATGCCAAAACCGGGAAAACATGGTTACCCTCTGGTAAACTAACATAACTATGGAAAATCACAATTTTTAATGGGTAAATCCAATAGAAATTACAATTTTCAATAGCTATGTTAAATTACCAGAGGGTACCAAATGGGTAGGGTAGACTACTTAGGAAGTGGTAAAAATCCCCTTTATTCAGGTCCCATATTCACTGGGCTTATCCCACATCAAGCTGGGAAAAAATGGTGAAATGTTCACCTACGATTCGTGGATGATGATCCTCCAAGTACCCTCATGTTGGATATATGGAAGGTTTCCTCCAGTGGGTGGCTTCCCATCCACTTCCAAGTGGCTGGAAACCGGCCACCATCTCCTGGGTTTCTTGGGTAGTGCACCAAACAGCAGCATTCTGCAGTCGCGAGACCTATAAGCGCCATCTATTTCTGGTGCGAAACGTAGGGAATGGATGGGTTGCTGGGGGTTGCTGGGATGATTCTTACTATGACTGGGTCCCGAAAATTCCCTGCGTTTAGCACCAGTAAGATTTTTATTGCTTATTCCATTGATCCCAGGACCTATCCAATACACCAATGGCTCGCTTGTGATTCCAGTGATTCCAGCCCCGAAGAACACGCACTGACCTGACGGTTCAACCAATGTTTGCCCTGACGTCTTTGGCCAGGGCTTCCGACGGATATGTAAAAGAGGCAAAGCTTAAATTGGTTGGTGGTGCAGTCACCGCGAATGTTTTATACCCAAAAAATGAGATCTCATGGGCCAGGAAACTGACACTTGAGGATTCATCCACACGAGGATGGAATAATGATTGATTCAACATGTGTTGGTTGACAAATGGTGCTTTGAACTCACCAACCAGAATATATGTTCTCGGGGTCCCCAATTTGGGTCGACCCTAAGTGGATGGGCAACTTGAATGTTCGAAAACCTCAACTTGAACTGATGTGGCCCAACAATAGACCTGATTCATCCTAATTCTACCGGACTCGGGGATCAAATTTGGTCGTGTCTGGTGGGTCCACAGATCATTCACCTTGATCACTCCGTTTCAGAAAGTCCAGAAACCTGCTCTGGGGCTTCTGGGGCTGACTTCGGCCCAGAAAGTCCAAGAAGCGCTTGGGCCGCACCGCCACGGGCTCCATTTCCTCCAACGGCACAGCTGTGGCCAGCCATTCAGCCTTCGGTGTTTCATCAGACACCATGGGGCACTGTTCCGCGCTGGAAGCCACGGCTTCGGTGGGCAACTTGGGAAGCTTCGAGAGCCAATCCTGGACGCGGAAGTTTGAGTTCAGGAATCTGCGGAAACTGGAATTCCCATCATGATCCATCATGATCCATGATCCATGGGGTGAAATGAAATTCCGACTGACTTAGATCATGGAACCTTGAAATTCTTGAAATATCATCCCAAGCAAAGAGTTTTGCTTCACAACGTCCCCGTGCCTGGGTTTTATGTGATCAGTCGGAGCACCATACCTAGCAGTCAGCACTCATTATGGCTGTATTAAATATATCTAAGATCATTTCAGCCTGCGTAGGTCATAGTTCATCCTGAAATTGTCCGCCAATTCTTGACAGTTCGACGTGCATCATATGTCTGAAACTAGGTACCGGTACCTCAAAATCCCATGCTTTAGCACCATGTTTTTGCAGTAGTTTCCTCTCAAACTGGCCAATTTCTGGGGAAACATATGGAAAATTTATCCCTCATTTCCAGGTGCCACATCCATATTTCAATCGGAGTCACCAAAAAAATCCCACTGCGAATCCTGCGCCGAGATTCCATGAAGCCTCGTTTTTTCCCGGACGGAGCTGACGGAGCTTCACCTGAAACACCTTCGGCACGGCGCGGTGCATCACTTCGACCTTTGGGGGGGAACATGGAGCGGTACATGTTCCATAGATGGAGCGTAGGACAAGACAAATTTGCAAGAATCAATTAGCAAAAGTGCTTGAATTGACCAGGTTAACTGGTATTTAACTGGTGTTTATGGGTATCAGAACTATCGTTAGATGGGAAATAAAACAACACTCATATATAACTATAGGGGGCACCAGTTTGTAAGTCAAGGCTGGGAGATTTATCAAGAAGGCGATTTACACATGGAACACCAACACGAAACATCTGAAATCTCTTTGAAATGATATGATATATGGATTGTTTGTTTCCATCTTCATTGAAAAAACACATGAATTCGCAACGTTGCATTGAACACTCCCGTGTTGATCATGCTGTCTTTAAACAACAAACGTACTGCGGGTCCCGCCGACGTGTTTGAACTGCCCTCATTCCCCTGCTCCGAAGAATTCCTGGATCCATGTTCAACTTCCGATATCTCAGTAGTTTGTAAACGGAGACCATCCCACATTACAATTATAACAATTTCCCTGAACTGTTTTTTTTTTGGTGAATGATTTCCCCAATTAATCTGGTACCCTCTGGTAATTTAACATAGCTATTGAAAATGGTGATTTATAGTGGATTTTCCCATTAAACATGGTGATTTTCCATAGTTATGTAACAGTTTACCAGAGGGTACCCATCATTAACATAGTTCGAGGTCGGAAGATTCGGCCATGAAAAATTTATCACGCGGATCCGGCACATCCCACAGATTCGGAGAGTCACAAATACCCTTGGACGAGATATCATGTTTGGATATCCAAGGGTACCCTCTGGTAATTTAACATAACTATGGAAAGATCCACCATTTTTAATGGGAAAATCCACTATAAATGGTCATGTTCAATAGCTATGTTAAATTACCAGAGGGTAAAACGTAAACATATGTGATCAGATATGATAAACGAGATGTTCACAACAACAATCTACTATACATACAATAACATGTGGAAATGGGTAAAACAGGTGCTATATTAATATATTACACGTAATACTAATAATACGACTAATAATAAGAGTATACACATGTATAATTACATATGGTAAAACAATAATACTGCTGTATATATATATACTGTATTTATGTGCACAATATTGTACAATATGTGTATATTATTAATATATATATACATGATTATATATGTATACATTTACAGTATATCCCCAGAAATACCCTGCAGGTACCCCAAGGTATCCAAAAAACATTGGACGGTTGATCCTATTCGAATAGACCAAGATATCAATGGTCACCGAGACCTGCCCAAAAAAAACACGGATCCCAAATAGCCCACTTGGAGAATCATCCCACTTAGTAATTGGACTTAAAAACCCTTGTGATAATGAGTCCTCGATTTCTTGGTTATGACTCATATATGACATTTATACAAACTGGGTTAAAGATGGTTAAAGCATCATTTTGGCTGTCCTGAAGGTGCCCTATGGTTTCTTGGCCTTTCTCAGATCAGCAGTGTAGCCATCAATTTGGCTCAGCTATGATTAGCTCATGTTATCCTACAAATGGTTTTTGAGAAAGCGTCACATGTGGGCCTAGGGGCCCATGGTCATCAGGATTTCCATGCGAACTCTGAAGGTGTACCAAGCAGATGAAGTTGCTTGACTATCCATCACCAGAGGCTTTCCCCGATTTTTCACAGTTCATTCGCCATGGTTTGTTGGTTCAACGGTGAAATGGTTAAACCCCCCGATG